AAAAAAAAAAAAAAAAAGAAAGAAAGAAAAGCACAGAACATGGTGGAAATGAGACCTTCCACACCACCGATGAGAATGCCAAACGATGAAGCCTCCATTGAAAATCATGTGACACTACAGAAAATGGTGTTTGTAACACAGCTAAAAATAGAACTATCATATGACTTAGAGACTACTTCTGGGCATAAGACTCTGACACACATTACAACACGAATGACCCTTGAGGACGGTATTGTAAGTGAAGGGACCCGGTCACAAAGGACAAATACTGCCTGGCTACATTCCTGTGAGGTAGCTACACAGAGCAGTTAGACAGAAGGCCGCTGCCAGGCTGGGAGGCCGGAGGCCGGCAGGTCAGTGCTTCATGAACAGAGCGTCACTCTGGGAAGAAGAGAAACACTTCTGGGTCTGGATAATGACAGCTGCCAGCACTGCGAGTGTACTAAGTGGCACTGAGCTCCACGCTTTACAGTGTGTGACACAGAGGTACACTCGATCATATTTAAATATATATTATATATATATTATGTCAATAAAATTTCATCCCAGTGGAATAAAGCTTCTTCAGGCTTATCTGCAACAGAGAAGCTCATCCTATCTACCCTCAGTGATGTCTACCCAAGGTCCAGGAGTATATACATCTCTGTGTTTCCATATGTTCACACATCCATATACATTCATCGTATGAAGTCCGTAATAATTAAAAACAGCATGCCAACAAGCAGAATATAAGACAAGTCATGCGTTTTCCAGAGAGCTCTTTCCTCTAAGTGGGGCAATTTAAACATACTTGGTTTAAATTTGGGTTAAAGAGCACGCCACCGAAGCTCTGGGTGGCCTTTGCCACCATAGGACATCCTCCCCTGCACTGCCCGGGGCGTCTGTCTTCCCACAGCACTGCCTCTTGGTCTTGTGCTCGGTCTTCCTCACCCTCTCCTCCGTCTCTAAATACTGACCTCCTCCCCCCCTTATTTACCTGTTCTTCTTGGGGGCTAGCTGCATCATGCGGTCGTGGTTCAGATCTAAAATGACCCCTTGGAAGTCTCCTGTGTTCAGATATGGGGCTTTTAGAAGGTATGGGGACTCAAGGTAC